GGAACAGTCGCTAAAGAAGGATGTCATGCTGGGTAAGATGGAGGGTCAGAGAAAAAGAGGAAGACCCCCAACAAGATGGATTGGCCAGGTGGCATTATTGATGGACTCAAGTGTGGCAGCGGTAGTGAGGTTGGCCCAGGATCGGACATTGTTTTGTTCTGCTGTGCATGGGTTGCTATGAGTCGGTTCCAACTTGATGGCACCTGACAACAACAAGACTAGGATGTATAATGTGTGTCTTTAACTTATCTAGATGCCGTGAATGTTATGTTGTTGAGAGCCTGGATTTTGTTGTCTTTCTTTAAAGACTATAATTAATTGAGTTACTTCTGAATCAGCCTGATCCTTTCCAGGAAATCTTTAAAAACTATTAGCATAGTCAGCCTATAACTGAATGGAATACCTAAAAGGGGTTCTACAACTTGCTCAGTGAAATAGGCTTCTTGCAGAGCCTTTGTAGTGTATAATACTTTAGGCAGAATCCTGAGCTCCATCCAGAACCTTCTGAGGTAAATAGGACATTCCCACTAGAAAGGACAAGCAGACCAGCCTGAAATAGCTAGAGTAACTGAAGATACATCTTCAAAGAAAGATTATCAGGAAAAACCCAAAACAAAATGGCAGTATGATTGGCTACTACAAGAACAAGCAAGTTGTTCACCGGGGAGCCAGCAAAGCAAGCAATCAAGTTCCTTCAGGACAAATTCCCCTCCAAGACTGAAACTCAAAGGGAACACATGAGCAGGCAGGTAAGCATGCTGGCAGACACGTTGGTCTTCTGGTGAGTGGAAGAGGGGGAAAGCCCGCAATAAAGAAATGGGCTGAGTTCAGCCACGTTCCATAGAACCTGTTGACCTGGAGATGAGAGACAGAAGAGGAAGGGTTGGTGGGTCCAAAGTGTGATGAGACATGGGAATGCCTGAGGCCATGAACAAGGACATGGCCACAGAGGGCTAGAGCTGAGAGTGAAGCATCCAGCTGATATGAAGTGAGGAGAGATGCACAAGAACACCCAAACTTGCTGATAGTACCCATTTGACCTAGCCTCGATGGCTTAATAATCAGAACTTGACTAGAGGAAGATATAAAAAACAATTTTTGATAAAAGAAATGAGTGTGAATTGCTACAATTTGATGAACTTGACCTATACTTATGGATGTAGTAGCTCAAAATAACAACAGAGAGGGAAGGAGTCTTCACATCAAGTATCAATGCTATCCCGACTGTATAAAGGGTAGATAGGGAAGGAGCTCTGGTAGCGTAGTGGTTACGAATCGGGCTGCGAACCTTAAGGTCAGCGGTTTGAAACTACCAGCCACTCCGCGGGAGAAAGATGAGGCTTTCTACTCCCGTAAAGATTTACACCCTCGGAAACCCTGTACAGGGTCGCTATGGGTCGAAACCGACTCAACGGCAATTAACAACAACAACAGGGATGGGCAACTCAGACATTGGCTACCTAAAATGAGGGGACGATAAAGGCACGAAGTGACTAGCTTACAAGTTTTCAAGAAGGAGTTTAGTTTAAGAGCGTATGGGGGAAGATAGAGTTCCAACTGAATAGTTTTCATCTTGTCTAAAAGGGTCTGGTGAAAAGAAATAAGGATAAGATTCTTATTCAATAGTTAGTGTAATTGTTATCATGACTTGCAGGAGCTAGCCTGCTCGTGGGGGTCTCTGAAGGTGGATGGGGAATGAAAGCGGCAGGGGATTTAAGATGGTCAATCAATAGTAACTTTATTACCTACAATATAACTTGAAGTACAATCTGAGGCAGGGAGTGTATTCAGGCACCACAACAAAGCTAAAATTTATTATTATCTAGCTAACAGTCAGGCACAAATATATTCTCCTCACTATAGACTTCTCCCCCAGCCACCTGGTCATTGTGTTTTTTCCTTGCGGTTCTCATCAAGGCGTTCCTTGATTTGATAACTGCCTCAGAGTGGGTTTCACACATATCCTACAATGACTAATTGTGACTGTCACAACTGTAAAGGTAGAAGTTTTGTAACAAAAGGTGGGGAGTAGTTAATCTTACATTCCAGGAACAGAGGACCATAAGGACATCTAGGGAGATGAGCACAAGCGGAATTTGGGGCCTTATCCAGAGAAAGAGCAACACCAGAGATGGGGATATGGAGAGAGGGAGCAGCTGAGGACTCTAGACTCATGTAAAGAGAGAGACTGAGTGCTGGTGGGCAAGAGACAGGCTTGCAGAATATGCCCTTTGGTTGTTTAAATTGTTATATAATCTATTATTATATATTCCTGAGTGTTTTTGCATACATCCCCTCCACCCCTACCCCCCCAAAAAAAACCCCAGAGGTAATGGAACCAAATACTGTTGAATGATGATGCACAAAAGAGCTTGTAATCATTGCAGTGAAACGATGGTGTAAAGCTGATGTTCTCCCATGTATGCTATCACTCAGTTCACAATAATAATAATAAAAAGAATAACTGAAAAACAAACAAAAGACCTCTTTAAAACAAAACAAAACAAAACAAAAAACCTGTTAGCATATGTCTAAAGTAACCTTTGGTTTCCTGTGTTGCATTGTGGGTTAATGTGTTGGACTATAAGGTTGTTTTGAACTGCAAGGTCATCTGTTCAAACCCATTAACCGCTCTTTGGAAACCCTATACACAGTCACTATAAGTCAGAACAATCTCAACGGCACTTAACAACAGCAACAAAGTAACTTTTTAAATCTAGGACTCACTGAGTTCTAAGGAGCTATGGTAGCATTATGGTTACAAGTCAGGCTGCTAACCTCAAGGTTAGCAGTTCGAAACTACTACCCCTTCTGCAAGAGAAAGATGAGGCTTTCTGCTCTCACGTAAAAATGTATTGCCTTGGAAACCCTGTACAGGGTCTCCATGAGTCGGAACCGACTCCATGGTATACCACCACCACCACCAGTTTAGTTCTACTAAGGCGTGACTCTCTGGACTCTGTTCAATACCCCTTATATGAAGTAACATTTTCCTGGTTGCTTAGACTTTGGGGTTTAATTCTGTACATATGTAACTTAATATTTAACCAGCAGGCTAAAGAAACCTCTGCTTGGATTTATGGAGGTATGTCTGTGATATTCCCTCCTCTACAGTAATCTGGACCAGAAATTCCAGCTGCTTTAGTCTCTCTAAGCTCTGTTCTTTTCTCCTCACCTCAGGGACATTCCTGCATTCTTGCATTCCCTTTCTCTGACCTGGAAAGCACATCAAATACAAAGCCAGGACAATCACAGGGCTGTCCTCATGCACTGTCCTCTTAGAGGTCAGAGTTCTGCACTGCCTGCCGTTTTATGTCTGAAAGTAATTTCATATACTTTGTCCAGTTTTCTAGTTGTTTGCAAGGTTAAGTCTCTCATCATTAATTCCTCCATGGGTGGAAGTGGATGTCATTTGAAACTTAATTCCAAAAGGGATATTGCAAGGCAGTATTATGGCTGTTTTTACATTATTGATTTTTAAATCTTTGCTGAACTTTTCTCTATTGTTTTTTAATCTTTTACACTGGGATTTTATGATGTATTAATAAACTTCTAGAAAAGCTTGCAAATCTGAATTTCTTTTCTCTTTAAAGATTTTTGCTCGTGGAGAGGTTATCCATGTGAAGATTCTTGGAATTCTGGCTCTTATTGATGAAGATGAAACAGATTGGAAATTAATTGCTATCAATGTGAATGATCCTGATGCCTCAAAGATTCATGGTAAGACTATACCTTTTCAGAAACAGATGCAAATCTATGTGTCATTGGAATTCTTAGAATTTAAAAGGGGCTCATGTAAAACATATTTGGGAATAAAATGTTATGTTTTGTTCCCAAGAAATATAAAGAGTAACTTAAAATGATAGGAGGATGAAGAGAGAAAAAAGGCCATAGACAAATTATATTTCAAACAGAGAAAATAAATTCTGAGTTATTGACTCCGTTTTTAAAATGTATTAATTTTAGAAGGCTTTATTATTTTCTTTTTTTCCTTTCCTTTCTCTTTCTCCTCCATTTCTTCTTTCTTCCCCTCTCTCTCTTGTCTGCTTTACTCCCTCCTACCCTTGCTTGAATTACTCTTGCAAATTGAGGGTTTTGAAAGCATACCTGGCCTAGTGATGAAAACATATGATACTGGCACTTTTTCCTGGAAACCATGTTTTTGTTCATTTGAACATTTGGTGTGGTGGTAGAGAATAAGCAAAGAGTTGATCAAGGACATAGGCTGTTTCTGCAATTTCTTTTTTCTGAATACTAATCTCAATGTAAAGAAAACAAAAATCCTCACCACTGGACCAATAAACAATATTCTTATCAATAGAGAAAAGATTGAAGTTGTCAAGGACTTCATTCTTCTTGGATTAACAATCAACACTCATGGAAGCAGCAGTCAAGAAATCAAACGACATAT